GCGTCATCGCAGGTTGAGTCAACAGCACCACCTTGTGGACAAACAGCAGTCTAACAATCTTTAATGACCTCGTTGTGTTGGCTTTGCTGCAACTAAAGAAATGCCCCTTGAAAATAAGGGAAACACGTTTTAATCCACAAACATGCATCAAGAATAAAGACAAATTAAAAGTTACTTTCTATAAATTACAAACTCTAAATTTTATCACGGTATATTACCAGAGTTGTGTTCATATGTTGGTGAGTTAACACTTTCATGGGGTAATGTGACAAATAAGTGAGCAATCATTCAATTTAAAACTAATAAAGGGAATTACTCAAGAATCATCATCATGGGGCTGCCTTTTTACATGATGTTCCCTCATAAGGAACCTAGTTGTTTTTGGTTCCTTCTATCGGGCCAACAGTACAATGAAAAAGCAACATAAATCATGGACACAACATACAACAAACATGAGGCACTCATGGATTCAATACAATCACAATACATTAATTACATGCTTTATTGTATTGAGCATTTCAAACCCTCCAAAGATGTTTAAATTGAATGTACTTCTCATACAAGCGAACAGATACTTCAGTATCTGGACGTGGCCTTTCAGTCCACAGAGTATTGCTGTATTAAAGAACCCCACCCCATTTGTTTTTTTGCAGCCAGCGCCTATGTCATTTTCTAAGCATGTCGGACCACTGGAGAGAACCTGAGAACTTCCACTTGTAACATGGACAAAAGGAGAGGGTCATGAACCATCAGAAGTGTGACTGAATCCTTACCGTGAGGGCTTTTTATTTTTTAATATTAACTTTTTTAGGGGTGTTACCCCAAAACAACTTGTTGTCTAAAGTTGAGTTTCTGGCTGAATGCACCCAATTTTTTTTTACCAAATGTAAACATTGTGCTAATTCATTCATGAATGTAAACTGAAAGATGTTAAGCTCCATTACACACACACACACACACTGTAAATAAATACAGCGTACAGTGCCACACTAAATTCCTCAGTTGTGCGTGAGGGTTTTTTTCAGTGACACCTTACGAGCGTTGACATACCAACACACACACACACACACACACACACACACACACACACACACAAGAGACGATCCACGCAAGAAGGACGGAAGCAGGTGGCGAGCTGGGGGTATGCTCTAGTTCTGACAGGGTATTTATAACCTGCATGAGAGGCGCTGTCGCTTCTAAACAGCCACAAAAAAGCCGAAAATAGGTGCGGGAACGAGTGTTTGTGTGTATGAGAAAGAGAGACAGAGAGAAAAGTCCGACAGACACTACAAACAACATAGAGAACTTCTGGACGGTTGCCTGTATGACATATTTCATTCCTATCCATTGCAGTCCACCCATTCAGATGGGACTATGTTATCATAATTTGGCATGGTCAGGCACTCTCACACTAACAAACACACACACACGCACGCATACACACGCACACACAAGGAGGGCTTTAAGGGATTTGAAGCCCAATGTGATAATGTTTTTTTGCTGCAGCATGATCCAGAAGTTCCCTGTGCAGCAGCTCGCAGCAAAATAAATGGATTTCATTTTCTTTCGGTTCATCAGTCAGTCTGACAAACGGTGGAACACACACATTCTGGTGGATAGCCATGGTGCTAAAGCAACAGACCCGTTTTATTTTGGTCTCTGTAAAAGTCCTCCAGTGGCTCGCTCCTAAATCCATAGATGTTCCCAAATAGAGTGAGCAGCCAGGCAGATGGCAGCTTAACAGTAACCTATACCACTTCCTCTAGAACCATGACCTCAGGGAGATGATTAACAGGAATCAAACAGATCGTCCAGCACCCTCTGTATCTATTTTCATTGTAAGGAGCCATATTACACAGGTGGAATGACAAATTCATAAAGTTGTCCAAAAAGTTGTCTCATTCAGATGATATTAGTGTGTCCAAGGTGTGTGTCCGATGCAGGGACCTGCACCTGCGAGCCTGGGCTGCACAAGAAACTTCTATTTTATTTAATGTTTGCAAAAACACAGAGGAGGGATATATTGTGATTTGGAAACGTTGTGGCTATTCCTTTGGACTTCTTTGGTGGATTTTGGATGACATGTATGTGGTCAATATAGCGGATAACAATTAACCAAAGTTCAACTCCTAAATCAATCAATAAAACACTGAGCAGCATCTAAATCTAAATGAAACAACTGAAGCAGAAATGTACAAACCACCACGAAGTTTTATTATATCACGATCTTTTATCCTCAAATTGTAAAATGCTTTATTGCTTCAATGCCTGATGGACTCAATATACCACATGATCATAAACCAAGCGTTTCTGCCAAGCACAACCAGAATGTTTACAGTTCCCTGAAGAGCGGCTATTCTCTTACCTCAGCCAGCTGTAGGATGTCAAGATGCGTATCAGGCTCGGCCTCTATGCAGATTCCCCCTGTGTCCGTATCAACTGCATGTGTCTGCACCTTGCCGGTGCTTGTGCTGTGAATGCACCCCATACTTCCAGAAGACGCTCTTTAGCCCCGTATCTTAAATTTCCCTCAACTCTTCTCCCCTCCTAACCCTTCCACACAAGTGCTTTGCTCCAGAAGGTCCCCTTCTCCTCCTCCTCCTCCTCTCAGCGCTGCACGTTTTGAAGGGCCTCCTTAGGTTTCTTCAACATGTTCCTTCTCCCCCGGTGACTGCTAACACCTCTGCCCCTCTCTCTGACAGCCTGTCCTTCCTTGAAATCCACTCCAGATTACTCTTTTCTCCTTCTTTTACAATCCCTCTTTCAACCCTCCAAAAAAGTGTCACCAAGCACAGACCCCCGCCCCTTACTTTTCCCGTCCCTTGCTCCCCTGGCTACGCTCACTGAGCAAAGCATGCGAGCATACACTCACCACCTCTCTCTTCCCTCCCCTCTTTCCAATACCTTCGTCTCGTCCCTACAGACCCTCAAATGTCTCATGCGCCGCTCTCTCCCACTGCACCCTTACAGACCCTCCACTCTTTCTCTCTCCCGTTCAATCAGGCTCCTCTTGCAGTCCCTCCATGGGCGAGAAAGGGGCAGCTGTTTTTGACTTGTTGATGTCAGGCCCTTCCCCTTTCCTTTGGCTCCTCTTCCTCATGGGGAAGTTATTAGATAGAGCCTCTTTCACACGTCATCCCAAAAGATTCTGTAACTTTGCACATGAGAACCGACTGCAATGACCCCACATCTTCCTCCTGTTAGCTTGTTGTAAGGCTGCTCTCCTGTGTTTCAAGCAAACAGGATCTCTGCATCTCCCTTGGATGTGAAAATGCCAAAATGTAATTAGTCACTGGACCGTGTTCAACAAAACACATGACAACATGAATGCAATCTTTATTTCCTTCCATCTATTGGTCTCCACTGAAACACAAACAAAGACGGGCTCTGTGCTTAAATCTGAGATGTGCTACTCCAATGGTTAAATTCCTTCAGACTGCACACTAACACACACACACACACACAACTGTATTTCAGACAAATCACTGCTTTGAGCTCGAGGTTTGAGGGTTGTGAAGGGAAACTCTGACAAGAATCTCTTTCTAAAACCATGTTTTAGGCCACTGGTCACTCCATTTTTCATTGGTTTAAATGGAGGCAAATCTGCGACAACGAGCTAAATTATCTGATATAAGCATCAACGTTAATGTTATCTATTGAGCTGAGTGACACAAACCCGAGTCACGTTGCAGCTTGAAGGGGAAGGTAGGACCCTCCGGTATGGACCAGCTGCTGATAGACATGGAGGTGGGGAGCGAGGGGGGGAAGGGATGGGTGGACAGACGCACCCAAAATGTGCAGTTTTCTTTTTACCAACACCCACAATGAAGTATTCAGATATGAACTGAAAAAAAGATAATGAGTGTCAGTAAAAATCAATTAGCTAAGCTAAGTTAAAAACACTGTATTGTTTAAACTATGAGCATGTAAAGTAATAGTAATTCAAACTATTTCCCACTGAAATGCTGAGAAGTATAAAAATAATTTAATAAAAACAGTACAAATGACAAGCTAAAAATGTGCTTGTATACAGAACGTGAGTAATACTTTCCTGATTTTTCTCTCTTGTACAACTACATTTATCATTATCTCCTGAAATGGCCCCAATGCTTGTTTACCTTTTCAGTGACACCATTAAGCCTTTGTGTCTCTTTACAACTGTCCACAAAGCGAGTCATCTTTCAGTCTGTAAACAAACACGGGGTCGATTTTTTACCGATAAAAGCAGCGTCATCTCAGCTGTGCAATCACCGATCTTCAGCGTTCGCCAACTCCTGCATTACTCTCATCCCTTTTTGGCATATATTAAACATGTTTAAATCGCTATTAGCAGGTAGGGGTGTTGCACAATTTTATTTGATATTGCTTTCAGGCACCAGTGTGCTGAAGAGAATGGCTTGCTACTAAGGGCTGGAGGGGAGTCCTTTACCCTACAGCTTAGTGGGTGCCCGTGCGCCTGTGTGGGATGGGAAGCTCAGCAGGATCCTGACCAGCTGCCACCAAGAGCCATGACCTCAGCAGGGGGTCGGGACTGAAGAAATACTGTCAAATGTTGCGTCCCTCAGACCACACCCAGAGAACTGAGAGCACAAAGACTTTGTCCCTGCTGCAGGTACGTATACTTTTGATGATGCAGCTCACCATCACGGGACGGACACGATTTGATGGTTAGTTTAAGAGTTTCTCTGCAAGAAAGGTGCAGGGCCTACCTTATTTTTTTTTCTTATCTTTTTTACGAGTGAACCCCCATTCAGCCACACATACAAAATAACCACACATAATGACTCCAATTTATTGCAATTTATTGCAAATTGGAAGACATGTTCATGGAAATCCTCATATCCTATGCAACTCTGTTTTCCCAGAATATTTGTAATACTCCGAAAGAGTGAATTATTTTTTATACAGCTGGAAACTATCATGAGCCGTTAATGTTTTGGATAGATGCAATGAATGGGGTAATAATAAAGCACCTAATTCAGTAAGAATTGCACAGCCGCTATTTAAAGCAACTTTATTCCTCAATATTTAAGTCCATTCCATGGCCCTCTCTTGCAGTTATTAAGTTCAATCAATCCTTTGCTACATGGTGCTGCCCACATGACAATGTTAGATCCTAGAAACCCATCTCGACATGTATTATTCAGTATGGGCAAACAGGAGATTCTTAAAACAATTTCCATGAGAAATTGATTTAAGTTATTCTAATAATTTACTTGTGAATAAAAGTCTTAAGAATATGAATGCATTTGACCTGGGAATTATGCCAATCAACAAATGAATAAAAATATCGGAAAAACAGGTTGCCCTTAGTACGCAACATCTTTTGTCATATCATCCAACCTCACGTCTGTAATCCACAAATGTACAAATTCAGTTTTTCCCCACTTTTTCCATTTATTTATTACAATTAATTCAATGTTATCCATCACGTTTCCATGTGTCAGCTGCTCCTTTTCCATTTAAAACAAGTCCGGTATGCGACTATTCTTAAGAAGCTGAATAGTCCTGAAGGTGGGACAGGGGAGGAGGGGTAGGTGGGTGTTTTGAAAGAAAAAAGGACAGGTTTGTAGGAGGAAAGGAAGTAGGGAGAGAGGTCCTCCCAGGAGCCTCTTCCATGTGAGGAGTTTTCATAAGCTATGTGAGATTATTTTTCTGCGGTCGTCTTTCTCCTCTTCTTGCGCCTTGGGGCCCCGTCTCGTTATTTTCTCTATTCTACGTCCTCTGCGTCGTCTCCTTGGTCTCCGTCCATTAGCAAAGCAGCGTACTTACTGGCTGAGCTGAACTTCTGAAACAAAAGTGGAACCAGGATCAGTACAGATAACTGCGTCGACGAGAGGAAATGTCTCAACCGTCTCAAGGAGGATGTAACATTAGGGAAAAATTATTTTAGGACTGATGACAGGCACTGAGGGCGGGGAAAATTATGTTTTTAAAACCTCTAATGTGCTGGGGAGCACTGGTTAAACAACTTAAGGCTTTAAGGAAACCCTTTAACGAAGGATCATTTAGGTGCTCCGACTTATCCTTTGCGGTGAAGGACTTACAGGGGTCGGGGTTTCTTCAAATTTCTTTGGCTCGGGGGGTGGTCTGGAGTCTCTGTCTCTTCTGTTATCCTTTCTACAATAAGAGCGAACACTGAAGTTAAAATCTATTGGTAGACCTCAGTGTCAGTTGTCTTTTGCTGTGAATCCTCAAAACTAAAAAGGAGCAATATCTATGCTCTAGTAAAAACAGAAGTATCCCAAATGTAATGGCCAATTCATGTGGCACTGTTGATGTCTCGGGGTTATGATTTAATATCCCCCGTAACACATCATATGGATATTTGGAGTAGAAAAGGCAAAGCACTAAATGTGCACACCACAAATCCTGGTGTCCTTCAGTTCCCAATGTCCACAACGCAAATAACGAGGGCATCATCATTGGTGAAACTGAGTGTAGGCCATTCTTTACAGATGCCCAGTAAATGGTCTCCCAGTCTTATAAAGAACTTTGGAGTGGCTGGCTTCGGACGGCTGACCTGTCGGCCTCCTTTCTTCGGTCTCTGTTGGGCCCCTCTCCTCGACCCCGCCCTGCAGGCCCACCTCGAGCCTGTGGGGGCCCTCGGTCCCGACGCATAGCGTTAGCCTTGTTCTCATCTTAAAAGAGAAGCCAGACAGTTGAGTGAAGGGAGGTTGTTTGACTTTGTACAGTGGACTACACTCACCGCACACTGCAGCAAAAAAGAAAAGCCTCCGGGTTGGATTCATTAAGTGTCATGTCAGGGATGTTGGGTCAAATGAGCAGTGCACAACTGTTTGAATGAGCTTGTACAGCAACTCATTTCATTCAAATTCTATATTCGCTTGAAAGCTGTGCTTCCCCCCCCCCCAAAAAAAGAGAATTTGGATTTACATGGAGATGGCTCAAGTTTGACCCAAATTCATTTTCCTTCTTAAATCAGAATCGTGGTACATGTGCATATACTAACACGAGACATATTTCAGTGCTCCCCTTGTAATGAATACACGCTAAGTAAGAAGATACATTCATGACCTCCTCCAGTCTTGATGGAAAAAACATTGGAACTCCCTTATAAAATTATTTTCACAATAGGGATCGGACTATCTGTAGAGAGGTTTACCCTGGTAGGACTACTGCATGAAGGGAAATATCAAGAGACAGTTACCCTTTCTTGACCAACAAAGAGTTTAGAAAGAATTTACATATCTGCAGCGTCAAAGTCCACAAAAAGATTGACAATTGACCCTCATCAACCCCTTAAGTTCATGGCAGGCCCTCTAAAACCATTCCCATCAGTTATTTGAGTTCAATGGTCAAAGCTTAATATGCTACTATTATAATTGAATCATATGTAATACGTCGGGTCGACGTGGCACAGGGGTAGAGGGTACGCCGGGAACCGCTCCATGTCCTATGTCAAGCCTCCCTGAGCAAGACACATAACCCCTAATTGCTCCCGGGGCAAAAATGTAAAAAGCCATGGGTTAAAAATGCAATGTAAGTTGCTATGGATAAAAGAGTCAGCTAAATCACCTGTAAGCAAGAAGCTGAGCATAAGAAGGGTCGTTTTACACAAGCTAAACTGGATTAAGATAAATTACCTTTCCAAAAGAACAAAGAAGGTGGTCTTATTTCCATCAATCAACTCTTTGTTTTGTGTGCAATGACCTGTACAGTTCCACAAAGTTGCCAATACGGCTTCATCCCAAGTCTCTGTTAGCACACTCAGTTTCCTTTGCTTTTGTTGATTTGTGAAAAACCTCCCACTGGTCGGTAGACCTTACCTTTTCCAGATTCTCTTTCATCTGCAGAATTTGGGGAGCTGAAGAGAAAGTACGAACATTTAGGGAGAGGTCTATATGTACACAATCATTCTGAATTCTTGTTGTGAAAGGTTTTGAGCTTGCCTAATATGCAGTACGAGTTCTCACCTGAGCTTAGGAGGAGTTGAACCACTCGGGGAGACCGGAGAGACCGGAGGTCGTCCATCCCCCTCGCTAGAGCCTGTGCTGGCTGCACTTCTCTTGGCCCAGACATTCTCCTTCGGAGGAGGGGCAGGCATCACCTTCAGCGGCTCCTTGGAGCAGATGGTAATGGGAGGCTGCGGGGAGGTCCCAGGGGAGGAGGGCTCACCTTCTCTGCCACTGAAAACCTCATTCTCTCCAGAGCGCTCACTATCTCGACACCGGGAGCCTGGTAAAGTAAAGAGCAGCTTGTTTCTTACCGATTTACACTCACATTATTAGTCCCCAACTCTTTAACCACATATTTGCCTATTTTTGTCTGGAATTGTGGTGTAATTTAAATAATCCTGCCAGAACAGAAGACAGGAGCTTTTTTAAAATAATCTTAAGAAAGGGTACAAATATAAAATACAGACAGACTGAAATAAAAAAAAACAAAAATTAAATGCATAGGTTTCTCACCTCTTCCAGAAGTACTTCCTGGCTGGGAAGACTCACTTCCTGTGCGAGAACGCTGAGGATGAGATTCTTCAGTGCGCCAGCTTGGGTCCCTGAAAACAAAAGAAAAGGCTTGCATGAGGCCCACAAAATGAGAACACGGAGATGAAAAAGGTGACAGCTCTGAGAGAGAAAAAAAAGAAAAAAGAAGAAAAAAAAAAACTTTTGTCTTGGAAGAAAAACATTTTGTTCACTTAAGACAAAATGGCACAGATTGTTATCATATGATGTTAATGCAGGACATTTTGTCAGATGCAATTCTCCAGTGTGAAAAAGTGCTTCTGCAGTCCTCTTCAAGAAAAAAAGAACATATTTATCAGAAATGTATTCAATCATAAAGGGAGACGTTATCAACAAAAACAACGGTTCAACTACTTATGTTAGCCCCTGACCTGTCTCGCATCTTTCTGTCAGGTCCCCGGCCTTTGTCCTCATCCAGCTGCCTCTGCAGTCTCTCTTCCTCTTTCTTCAGCCTCTCCTCGACTTCCCTCTCCTTGGCTGCTGTGTCAACAGGTTTGGCTGCACCAAAGATGGAGGAGGTCCTGCTGCCGGAACTTGGAGGTGCAGCTGGTAAAGTACCACCACCTCCACCACCACCACCTCCTCCTCCTCCTCCTCCTCCTCCTCCGCCGCCGCCACTACCTTCTTCCTCTTTGGGCAGGCTACGGGGTTTAAGGTTCAACCTGGGTCTCTGCACAGAAGTGGCTGTAAGAACAGAAAAAATATATATTAATACGTATTAGTGCAGCTGTAAACTAGTAAAGAAGCAGTACTCTTTCACACAAAAATAGGTTTCATTAGAGATTCTGAGGGAGGTGTGAACATGTTTTAACTTCTTAAGAAAAACATGTTTTACCCTTCACATTAACTTAATTAGTGCTGATTATAGAATACTAAAATGGCCATCAAACACCCTACTTGTTATGATCAGTTCAAAAGTAATGCAAACAAACTACGCTTTTGTGTTTTGAGCTCTCACCCTCACGGTTGTCATCCTTTTTCTCGTACCGCTCTTCACGGTCCCCATAACGCTCCCGCTCCCCATAACGATCACTGCTACCTCGACTGTCATCATCGCGGCGGTAGCCGGTGCCAAAGGCACGACGACCTCCACCAGCACTACTACCGCCACGAGAGTCAAAACCTAGAAGGATGGGAGAAGAGAAAGAGTTAAGTCTATTAATAGGGCTGTGTTTTCACTAATTCCAATGAGGATTCTGTGATGTGAAAGATCTGAAATCAGCTCTGTGCACACAATACTTCAATGAGGCTTATCTTAATGCATATGGACATTTAACAGTTAAAGGAGGGTCTGTAAAACGGTTTCCATTTCATCTCCTAAAAAGTCCTGGAATGATCGCATGACAAAGGTTGTGCAACAACAGCAGAGGTTGCAGCAGAGCGATCGGCAGGTCATGCCGACCATTAAGTAAACTAGGAAGCCAAAAGGCTGCTTATACAGCCGGGTAGTACTAAATCCCAACACAGGAGTCAAACAATCACAAAGACATACCGCCTCTATCGTAGTCCCGGCGGTCCCTGTCGTCGTAGCGATCTCGGAAGCGGTCTCTTCCTCCATCATAGCGGTCATTGTCCCGCCTTGGCCCATCTCTGAAACGGTCCGACTCAAAACGATCCCGTGATCCTGCAAGAATTATAAAACAGAATAACAATGACATTTCAATTTTGAAATGTCATCCTGTTTCCATGTAATCATGACTTTCCAAGGATATTAATATTTCCAAGCAAACATTTATGAAACCATACAATTGTAGAGAATTTAGAGCTAAAGTATATGTATGGAGTTAAAGTTGTGCTGCCCTGTGTAAATGAGCAGAAGCTACAGCCAAGTTCACAAATTAGCAACAGGAAGCTTATGATGGAGCATTACAGAATGAAAAATACGTATTACAGACATTACTGTTCCGTGTTATTCTTGTTTATGTATACTCCATAATTCTTAATGTAACACTGTTAAGCCCTTTAGTTTTATTTCATAGAATATTTCGCATTTTTTCCCCTATTGTGCCGAAATTATACGGAACCGTGACCCAATAATCTGGATGTGTTCTCCATTCATTAACTTGCAGTCACATGTAAAGTTAAAACTAACATTCTGCAAGGACACAAGAAATAGGTCCCAAACAAACACATTTATCGTGGATTCAAGTGTATAGAAAGATCTCAATGAAAATACAGACAATTATGACTCACTCTCTCCAAAGGCCTCCTCTCTCTTAGGAGGTCCATCGTCGGCATCTGAACTGGGACGAGCCCTCCAGTCAGTGTCCGTCTTGTCGGGCCCCATGTCTGACATTCGTCCACCCCTGTCTCGGCCTCCCATAGATCCATTGTCCCTCTCTGATTTATGAAGGAGATTTTAAGATTTACTATAAAATGAAGGTTGAAGGGCGTATTCCAAATCTAGTGACAAGTCTCTGCAGCAAAAACATCAGCAATGTACCTTTATCATTTGACTGGTCTGCAATATCTACACGGATTCTTCGATTTCCCAGGTTCTGTTGGCATTAAAAAAATTGATGGGAAAAGAATGAAGACGTCCCGAATACATTTGAGAGAAGAAACCATGTAATCAACAGCACAAGTGAACACATTAGTTCCAAAAATATAAAAATAAAAAATTGAAAATAATTTAGTTTATGTTGAATCCTCTCACCTCCTCATTGAGACTCAGGGCCCTCAGGAGAGAGTCCACATCATCAAATTCAGCATAGCCAAAGCCCTTCAGCCTCTCTGGGTTACTGGGCTCTCTTGGCAGACGCACTGCACTGATCTGGACAAGATAGAGATAGAACAACATTAAAACTGAGCGTGCACAGATCTGGGCCCAGCACTGTACAGTTCACCCATATATGACCAGGAGACCCCTTAAGCAATTGGGCGGGGGGGGCGGGGGACACGAGAGAGTATTAAGCATAAGCATTGGGATTCTCTCATGAACAATGACTCAATACAGAAAACTCAGGAAAATTCAAACTCAACTTCTCAACCGTATGATTGACTGAAATATCTGAGGCCAGGCTGTCAATTCGTTAGACGCCACTGAACGCAACAGACAGAATACACGTGCGTCTGGTTCACAATCAAAGCGTGGTGTGAGCAGCCTAACACGGATACGATTCGAACGTTTCAATGGACAAAGTGATACTCGACAACCAAACCCAAACATTGAGGAAAGCGGGTAGGGTAGCAATAACCCGTTGTGTGTGGTATTAATTGCCAGGGAATTTACGGTCACCGTGCACTTTATCATTATGTATAATTCTGTGGATAGTCACGTTCCAGAGAGTATTATTTATTAGAGCCGAATCCTTGTTGCCTATAACAAGGGCATTTATTTGAAAATAAGTCTTTATTAATGGAGTTATTACGGCCAGCTTGTAGGTCACACGGATGTGCCATGTCGATTCTGTGCTTTCATCAAAAGGTTACCGCTAAAGGCCCAATTCTATTTATTTTCTTGTTAGTTATCTTTGAAATGGTTGAAAATGTAACCCTTTAGTTGACACTTCTCTATTAGTTGCCAATATTGAATTCATAAAAATATCAATCAATTCATCTGTTTTTTAAAATTATAAATCGTGACAAATATGGAGTGATTAACAAAAAAAAAAAAGATCTAATCGTCAGTGAGAAATGTATTGGGAATTGTGACGCAATAGGAATTGATGACTTCTCATAATCTCATTCAAAGCTTTCTGAATGGAAATCATGAGTAGTCACCCAATAGAGTAGTGATAATATAGTAATATTAATAAATATTGAGTAAGAAATTTGTTGACTTCTGATGGAGGAAATTGAACCTTTTAAAAGAAATTGGAAATGTAGAAATAACTCAAATATAGCATGCGTTACATTTTCGTATAGTCTGAATTTGCAGCGAGAGACTGTGCAACGATTAATATTTAAATGTGATTGAATGTTGACAAAACTAATTTGCTTTCCAGGATTTTCAGATAATGATTTCAGATTCCTGTACAGATTAACAAAGACTTCAACTGAAACTCAGAGCTTCATGCAACAAAGAGTGTTGAAGTAGCCGTAACCACTGTAAGCGCTAATAAGTGTTTCATGCCCCGCTCTGCACGTATGTGCATGTGCTTGCTACACCTACTGCCAAGCCGCGGAAGAAGTCTTTGATAGAGTCCTCAGTGACATCATAGGGCAGGTTGCCCAGGAAGGCCGTGTAAGGTGGGCTGCGGGGCAGTCGGGACCGGTCAACATTGGGTTCACGAGCTGAGCGGGGTGCCGTAGGCAGGATGGACCGGTCAATGGCTGGTGCCCGGTATGAATCCTCCTCAGTGTGCCACGAGGTTGAAACTGGAGGGTGAAGGAGAGAAACATTTTAAACCAATGCAAGTGGGAAACTTATTTTCAGTTACTGACCAACATATTCTTTTATGATTGACACTTGATTCAGTCCCTGAAGCTCTTTTAATCTGACAGGCAAACAACCACATTGCAATAAAGACTTCAAAACAATGACTTGTTGGGGGAAGATTAGTTTTTTCAAGTAGGGAACTTAGTGATGCAATAATTTTTGGTGATTCGATAATCATTTTACATTTAAATTGATCGCGCGCACACAGACAGAGCAGACACCAACAGGTGAAGAGTATGGAATGCTGTTTTAGTCAAAATTAGATAAATTAATAAATACGTAAATACATGAAATATGCATTTGAAATACATCATGAAATAAATAAATGAGGCAATAAATACATAAATATTAAATACATTTCATTATTTCATGGTACATTTTTTTCATAATGCAATAAATACATGAATATTAAATACATTTAATTATTTCATGGTACTTTTATTTCATAATGCCGTTTTACATTTCACGTTCTTATATGCAAATCAGGGGGCGTGGCTACATCTAACATTCAGAACAGACAACAGAGCCGTGTGCAAAAGAAGGCTGGCATTTTTAATTTTGACTAAAACGGCATTCCATGGAAGAGAAGCAGTGGACCCAACTAAGCTAACATCTCACCTAAAACAACAACAACCATCCGCCCAGTCTTTAACCTGAACTACTGTCGGTTCCTGCGGACTGCTCGTTCGCCTCTTTGGGCGGGAGGAACGCTGTTCCCGGACCGCTCCGTCTCTCCCTGCAGCCGCGGAGAACGTCGCCCTGCCGGCGGTCGAAGCCCCGGGTTAAATCTCCACGGCTGCCGCGGCGCGCCTTTCCGCCGGACACATTTTCTTGAACCCGACCGCATCGCACAAAGCCCGATGCTTCGCCTGCTTCATGTCCCTTGGACTTATTTTTTTTGTTTTATTTATAATAGGATATCTTTTTTCACATTCCGATTTGATTTGATCTGACAAATAAAACGTTCTTTGAAAAAGTGTACTTTCATTATTAATATGCCATTATATTGTCATTATGTTATCAGTGATATAAAATGGTCTGAAAAGTGCAATAATATTGCATATCGCAATAAATGTTGGTGCAATGATCGTACAACAAAAAATTGATATCGTGACAGCCCACGTGCAGTGATACATTTTTGTAACTGGGCACATGTTCATCAATAAAATACCAGTAACATGTCATGGTATTGTACAAAGAACGAGAGTAAATACTAATTTACTAATAATTGTTGAGTATATTCAACCTTTGTCTCTTTATGATTCAATACTTGACTTATTTATTTGAAGGGCTTGTACAAAGGCCATAATGTAACCCGTGAATAGGAGATATTAGTTTACAGATCAGCATTGTAGAGGTTAGTTTATGTCTTTTTCCAGCCACAACTACAGTCTACGGGGATATTGGTTACAATTGTTCTTTTGACACATGTTTCTATGCTTTTTTGCAGAATAATGCAGTTCAGAGAGTAAAAGATATACAATGTAATTGATGTACTTGATCAACTGTATTGTACTTTTGATAATATGAAGTATTAAATGTAATATCTGTATAAGGGAGTTGGTGGATTTCTTTCAATACACTAGAATAATGGCATAGTGGTAATAATGGCCAAGTGAAGTATTAGTTTAAGTTTAACATATTCATGATTAAAATTATTTAAGAGCTCAGTAAACATTAAGTAAATCATTGTATCACTTCTCAGAGGCATGCACTCAATGTTGCGTTATTTGAAAGAAAAAAACTAAACCACCTCTACAGGATCCGCCAACTAGCCTGAGCATTACCATTTCCTATGGCTCTGTAGCATAACAATAATTGGAAAGTAAAGACCATTAAATGCTCTGCTACAGCACATCACATTCACTGACTGCATTCTGATATTGATCTTTTTTTCTTAGATGGAAAAATGGAAGACAGATCCAAGGTTTGCAAGATAAAAATATCCTGTGTGCATTTCGGTGTGTGCTCACCATCTCCGTCTAGGTCATCGGTCTCATCGGCCCAGCTAGTGGACTTGGCTGGGTAGCTGGGGGGCGCATTGCTGGATCCCTTGTCCTCTGCTAGGAAGTCCGTCAGAGTGAGGGTCTTCCCCTTCTTATTCTTCTTCTTAGCTGAAGTGAAGATGAACAAAGAGTATGTAGTCAGACATCGAAGACATGCTTGCCCATTGGTTGGTAGTTTATCCAAGTATCTGTCAAGGAAGAGAACCTTCAGAATCTTTATTATCAAATTCATATCAACTTAAATGTAACGCATTCTTTAGGAAATTATAGATTGATAATTGTTCTACTAAAACATAAGTCGAGTCAGAATACTTCAATGGCTTACAATAGAATGCAATGAAATATTACAAAATAGTCATTACAGCTGGGAAATGCAATGTTGTTAGATTAACTCATTTAAACACCAAACCAACAGTCGGGGTTTGTGTGAGTCCCCATTCATGTGAGCAGCTGAAAAGAAGCCAATGTTTGACTTAATTTCCCATTAGAAAGTAAACAGGAGTTGTCTGCCTGTCAACGAATCACTAAATGCTTATCTCCATTGGTTCATCCCCAAGAACACAATGCCAGGATCAATAATTGGGATATGTTCATCCCCCCCCCCCGGACTCATGTTTGTGGAAAACCCCTCGCAGTCTTGCACGGGGTGTATTTGAGCAAACAGTTGCCGGTTGCACATGGCGGCTTCGTACAGCTCAATTCAGAGCAGGTCCGGCTTGTTTTAGTCTGATGTAGAAAAAGGGGGGCAACAAAACTGGCTGTGATGTTTCACAATTAACTTCACAAAGGCATTCTTTACACACAGCCGCTTCTCAACTCTTTCCCAGTATATAACGCTATGTCATTGTTTACAGTTAGCAGGCCCAACCGGCCTGGACTTCGTACACCTACCAAAACTGAGAATACACAAACCGCTCAATGGCTTTATTTTAGCGCCCCTCACTACTGTGGCATTAGCCTCGCTAGGAGCTGCGCAACGTCAACTTTCTGCAGCACATATTCTGCTAAAGCAACACCAACAGTTACGAGGCGGTTAACACAGGGGTTGTTTGTGTGCCATGTACGCAGATCGCGTATAGACCTTTTGTCTTTATGGCCATGCGGACTTAGTCAGCAGAGGAGTGCTGACGAGGGAAGTATCCCCGTATCGCTGGCTAGCTTTTAGGGCCTAGCGCGCTTCGCAGCGCCAGAATCCAAGTGCGCCACCGTCGCAGGGAGACTAACGTTAGGTCATTTGGGAGGGACTGCTCCAAGTTGTGAAGCTACCGGGGAAGCTTTCAAGTGTCGGCCGAACAGGCCCAGGTGGCACATTTCACCCAAATGCCGATTCCGGGAAGCAGGCTGCACCGTGGGGAGACACTCGGGCTGCACGGACTTCTCGGCCCAACTCCTCCTCCACGGAAGCGCGCTTGCGCTCGATGCTTATCGGCTCTGAGCGCCATGGCGAGCGCCGCTACGGGCGTACAATGTGCCACCTCTGCACGCAGTTAGCAATATTACAATGGCACACAATGGCCAACACATCAAATAGGGTGTCGACCCAAGAGCGGATGACCCAACCATCGAGATAACATGTTTCATTGCCGAATACCACATGCTATCTGTAACGTGAGGTTAAAATGTCCAGACTGTAGAAATCGTTCATTCGCCTTCCTCCGGTAGTTACGTATCTTTTTCGGGGGAAAAACAACCGACGAACCGATTTATAAACGCGGGAGAACGACGGCAATCCATGAGACGATACTCTAACAATAGCAGAACTGAAAAGAAAAAATGTTTATCAGGCTATAACCCTCAGAAATGCAAGCCAACCGACCCAGACCGTTCACCCTCATAAGCCTCACCTGACGCCGCCATGTTGGAGAACGAGTTCGTTGTAGTTCCCGGATGAAGGCGTCAGAGGTTTATTGTCGGGAGCGCGCATCGCCGTTCACGGGCTTGTCCCCTCCCTTGTTTGTCTATAAGGCTACTTACTCACTCATCTGTTCCAAGCAAATTACTGACGTTTCTGAAAAAAAAGATCTGTCATGATTGTCACAAAGCTAATGTTAGCTGTTGCTTTCATTTATTTCCCATTTACTGCAGTCTTCACATTCATGAAAAACATTGATCTCTATGCAGCCATAAATCACATTCTTCTAAATTATGTCCCCACAAATCTTTTTATAGCATGTCTTATAGGTGCTTTAACCATTTAAATAATTGGTTATGGTTTCGGATTGATTTATATAATGGGTTTGTATTATAATTGGTGCTTTCATTAAAAAATATTTTAAATTCAAATTTATTGGTTGCTGAACGCAATAAGGCACCAAATAGCGGCTTATGCTGTTTTAATAGATATATAGGGGAAACAATGATTGCTATGGGTCATTATTTAAAGAATCAAATACTTCGGTTCGGGCAGTATGTCACTCATTTTGAAGGGGACATCCACATATGCAGTAGACACAGATTTTCTCACGTGCCTTGTCTGTTATTTTACAATATTCAAGTAACTAACTTTCCTAAAATATATCTGTTTTTCACCCCACACAGATGAAATTAATTACATAACTAATAATGTTTGGAGAAATAAAGCATTTTGTTACAATCTCTGTTTCTCACAGTAATTTATTATTGGGATCCCAGGAGTAGGTATGGTCCGTGTATGTTAAATGCACCGCTAAGTTATATTATATCGCTAGGGTATATTGGCCAAACATGTGTACACATAGGAATTTGAGTTTTTTTTATTATGTTCAGTAAGAAATAGATCTTGCAGCTAAGAGACCACCATAACTGAGTAAATAAAGCTAAAGAATAAGAAAGTACACAACGCTCATAAATAAATGAGCACAGACAAGCCCAATGTTGCTGAATGTTGTAAACCATACAAATAATACAAAGAAAGAACTATAACTTGAACTTACATATAGTGTTCACAGTAGTTAGGGCTGGCTCAGGTTAGCTTGGACCAGTCCCTAGACAAGTGTCTCTAACTGCCAGGGGACTTTCGTCTTTGTGATTTTTCGCCCAGCAGGTTTACGAGGATGGACATGATGAATTTACGAAACATAATTCATTGTTATAGATCAACAATGCGCTTTGTTCAATGAAAGCAATTCGAGATTATGATTCAAATATTGCGGGTAGTAAGCCATTTAACGAAAATATCAATCTAGATATAACAACCATCCTATATCTAGATTGATACTTTTGTTACATGGCTACTCGCAATATTTGAATCATACTGTTGAATGCATTGAACGTAGCGCATTGTTAATCTATAACAATGCATTATGTTTCGTAAATTCATCATGTTTTATATGTAAAATCTTTATCTCGAAACCACTAAGCAGCATTATGTTTGACAACTAACATTGGAGTAAAGAGTTGTGCCTCTGAAACAGTGGTATAAAATGGAAATATTCAACTCTAAGAGTAGTGATATTTGTGTTACTTTCCAGTGAGTTTGTGTGTTGTGCTTTTCTCTATTGAATAACTGGATAACAACAGGATTTAAAATAAATACATCATTGTGTGTTTAGGGGAGTAATAAAAAGAGTAAACAGGTTTGCACTGTATTTCATATTACATTATTCATTTCATAAACAAGCTCTAAACGAGAATAGTTGATTGAGATCAAACCCAAGCTAAAAGGCTAGATATTATTGTGAATTTTTTCTATTAACCACAAAGATACCTGTAATGGAATGGAAAGATAATATTGCCCTGTGCGTGTTGGATATGTTTGCTCGTTAACTCAGAACACAGTGGTCTCCTCACGTGTTTTAGAGTTCCTCTGCCCTCCAGTGGCCAAACAATGTTTAAGGCAGGTTTGACCACCCTGAAGGCTTGGGGGACAAACAATAATACAAACATTATTTTTTACAATTAAGCCAGCAACAAAATCATATAATTTATCAGCCATTCGTTTTTGGGGTGTGGTTATTTTGTTAACAGAAATGTAATTACCACCTGTCAGTTTCAATCATATCATTTATATAGACTTTTTTCAATCCACAAGGGCTATAACGTGCAATTAATATAATCACAATTTATTACAAAACATTAACTGCATGTTGTTACATTATCTGAAAAAACTTGGACTGGAGACATGACTGAGTCAACAAGTGGTTTTTATTCATTTTTGTTTTGCAGTCAGGTCATGCAATGGCAGCTTTCCAGATAGCTGTGTCTGTTTTGCTGTGTGGTAAAATGCTTTGGTTTACACAGAATGTGGTCTTGGTTCAAAATTGGCTTTAGATAATTGGACCAGCATATATTTGTTTCCCATAATGCACAGTTGTGGGTTTTTCTCTTTCATTGTTGTGCTGGTACCAGACTCTTTGCTCCAAATTAGCTTGTGGCCGCCAGCTCATCCAGTGCATCCTGGAGCCTGTGAAAAACACAAAGGGAACATTTTGACTTTGAAATATTCACGTGGAACTAGTCATGATAACTGACTGGAACAATTGCCTCGCTTCATAATAAGGTTGTACTTGACCATGCAAACCATGATAAGCGATTTTAATATTCACCTCCACTATATCAACACCTTGCCGGGTCTCTTTTTTTCCCCCAACACCTAATTCTTACTTGAAGTCTCCACCATCCATTAGACTCTTGTAAGTGCCAATCTCAGCCTCCAGTTTCATCTTCATGTTGAGCAGCGCCTCATACTCCTGGGTCTGATGCTGGATGTTTGCACGCAAGTTGGTCAGCTCCTCCTCTAAATGAATAATGATGCCGTTGTAACGCTCCATTTCCGTGTTGTTTCGCTGCTCTGTGTTGCGTAGTGTCTCTTCCAAGGAAGCTTTCTGATAAAGGATTAAAAAGCAGGAATTAAAAAGGCTGCCAAAGACATTTTTTTAACAGGGGCAAATTTAATATAATCTAACACATTTGTCAAAAAGAGGTAGTTAAATGATCATTGGTCATTTTATATTCCAAACAGATATTGAAACAAACTTTTTTAATCTTATGAGAGGATTTAATATTTTCATGCTGGTCATTAAATAGAAATTAATTTAGACAAAATATAAAACACATATTTGTAAAGTGCAAGCTTACTAGGCTCTGTTGGGATGCAAGTTCAATTTCCAGGGTCTGTATCTGTCTGGTTAGGTCACTCCTCTCCATTTGGGCTCCCTGGAGGGCTTCCGTGTTCTGCGACACCTCCACCTGCACATCCGCAATCTGACAGGGATATGGAGAATGGGTCTTAGCCAAAAAACAAGATAATTGCTGTAAGATTATTTACCCTTTAAAACGCTGCATCACCTGATTTTCATGCCACCGTTTGAGATCTTCTACGTTCTTCATGGCCATCTTCTCATAATTGCCCCTCACGTCCTCCATGACCTGGGCCAGGTCCTGACCTTTGGGGGCGTCTATGTCCACTTGAACGCCCGACTGGGAGATCTGATTCCTTATCTCCATCACCTCCTATAGGACCAATGTCCATAGAGGAATTAGGCAACACATTCAGAGGTGAGTGAATTTTGCTATTACTGATTTGGATGTACTGCCAACTCACGTCGTCGTGGTTCTTCTTCAGGAAGACAAGCTCTTCCCTGACAGCTTCAATCTCACTCTCGATATTTATCCTGGTCATGTTGGTGTCATCTATGAGTTTCTTCAGTCCGCCAATGTCGGCCTCCACAGACTGACGGATTGCCATCTCATTGTCAAACCTGTCACAGATGCCAGCTGTTATTCACATCGTGGTCTATTGTTAACGTTACAAAATGGTGTGACTGGAGTTTCATAAAAGGTTTTCAGACGTAAAGCTGTATTTGCTAAAATCCTGAAATCCTATTCTCAGATATTCTAAATGATAACCCACATGCTGTATCAAAACTATGCACTGGTTTCTTTTTGCAAAGTCTATAATGCCAATGAATTTCCGCCTTTGAGCAGCATGTATTAGCGTAACAAATTAAATAACATGAATAACAACGTACTTTACTTTGAAGTCGTCAGCAGCAAGACGGGCATTGTCGATCTGGAGCACAAAACCAGCGTTTTCCCCAATCTTATCAAAGATCTAGACAGGAAAAATGAATACAGTTTAAAAAAAATGTTTTTTCTTTTGATAAAACAAACTATTGTTTAACTACACACCCCTTCTAATAATGCTCCAATCATGAGGCACTTTTGAATGACCCAACAGTCATATAACACGCCACGTGATGGACTCCATGGTAACATTCAGAGAAAAGAGGAACCGCACTATGAAGAACAGGAAAAGAGGATGTTCCCGTGCCAGAACAAAATCTGGTTTGTTTTAGCAATGATGGAAAATGGGTTTCCTGTTTGAATAACTCATACAGAGAAGATTTTCTTTTTCTCCAAATCTCCAATCTTCTTTCTCTCCGATTCTCCCCTCAGAGTTCTGTCCATTTCTCTGTCATCACTGTATGTTTATGTGTGCAGAGATATCAAGTCTTCTGTTTTTTAGTTCATACTCTTAACTGCCTTAGAGGAGAAGAGGGAATACTCATGCCTCTAGGTGCAAAGAAAGAAAAAATGTCACCATCAATGAGTCATTTTGTGACATTGAAGTTTGTGAGTCTGTAGAAGAATGTGACATTTGACTCTCCACACTGAACGTGGTTGTTGTATAGAAACCATTGAACTCACGCATATCTGTGCGCGTATACACACACACACACGCATGCCTTCTGGCAGACCGAGTTCCTTTGTACGTGTGTGTCATAACCATCTGTTTCACATTGGGGCCCTCTCGGACCAGAAAGTGCTTGGAGAATCACCATTTACAAGCAGGACCATTTAGAAATGCTGAGGGTCTGTTTGAGAGCTTTTCAGTGTGTCTCTCACGAGAATGCCCTCATGTTTGTGATTCATAAGACAAAGTTCTGGGCTGTTTGTGGCACAAACAAGTTTTATGGGGGAGGGTCAGAGCTCAGTAACCACACCCTTCATTCTCTTGCGAGAAATTTGATAACTTACAAACAAAAAGCTCCCAGTCTCGGCACAAATATTCTCAAACGTAATTTAGGTAATCATACGATGAATAAGTAAATATATAAAAGTTACCGACACATGTAGTGTTGAATTGTGCTATCTCAATTAATCTTGTAGTCAAGGCCACATTAAGCACTTCTTAAGTATTTATTCACTGATATCACAGCCTTCACCGACATTGTCCTTCTGACATAGCTGAATCAAAGTCGTCAGGCAACAACCACTGTTTCCTAGTTTTCACCATGTCATACTCACCATGTTACTTCTAAAGGTTCAACGTTCAGTGTAAGGCTTACCTGCTGGCGTAGGTCGTCTATCATGGGTTGATACTTGCTGTAGTCTCTCATGTTGGGCCCTCCCTTTTCCATAGCTTCCATGATCCTCATCTCCAGCTCCTTGTTAGCCTGTTCCAGGTTCCTCACCGTCTCCAGGTAGTTGGCCAGGCGGTCGTTCAGGTTCTGCATGGCTCCCCTCTCATTGCCCATGATCCCAGCACCACTCGAAACGGATGCGCTGGCCCCTCCAAAACCTGAACCCATACCACCACCCATTCCACTGCTCAGCTTGTAGGCAGAGGAAGAGGAGGTCATCGGGGCACCAGAACGCAGAGAAGAGACGGAGGCAGAGGAAATGCGGGAGCCCATTCCACCAGCACCGCCATAAATGCTGGCAGAACTGTACTTGGGTGCGGATCGGGACTGCACGGTGGACCTTCTGAAGCTCATTTTGAGTTTAGACAAAGCAGAGAATCAAGTGAGAAAAGCAGATGTGGAGACTCACCGCTGGCTGGTTTAGAAAGAGACGCTGGCTGTGGGAAGTCTGTAACTTATAGTCCTGCTTTTCTCCCTCAATCACAGCTGGTCCCTCAGACCCTGCCCACTCTAACATCGCCCTAGTCCTTATTTCCTGTTCCCCTCCCCGTCCTGTGCTCTCATTCACCCACATGTTCCCTTTTTTTTACATGTCTCCATGGAAGTGTTTGAAGCATTTTTCAAAACACACATTACAGAAACCAGGGCAAATGTATTTGATTAAACTAAAAACCATGAACCTCAGTTAAAACAGACAACACAATTCAGTAATTTGTATGTTGTAAAGCACATGCTCTAACTATAATACAGATAAAAAGATAAAAGTGGCATGGTAGAATGTTCCTTTCAAGACTAAGTTTGCTCTGGCTGCATGCAACCAAATTCCTTTGGTTTGCCCATAAAAGGCACGATGTCTGACATTCACAGCATCCTGTCTAATTTTCAGTCAGCCTTGGCCCCAAAATAAAGATTGTGACTACCTTCTAATCTAGACAAAACAGAAAATTAGATACTGTGTAGCGGCTGAATGAAAAATAGAGGGGGAGGGGGGGAATTCTTCTTTACTGGTTCAAAATCAAAATGTTTGTCAAAGTAGTTGTGGTCAGAAATTTCCTATGACAACTGAACTGATTTACTGATAAACGCAGTTGCCATCACAATCCCAATTCAATACATACAAAAGCTAAGGACACCATAGCTTCAATTATTCTCAGTATAGAGATCAGATGACTAAATAACCTGAGTAAGGCAATGGCACATTGTTAGAAAAACAATATAAAGGAAAGAAAAGCTGCCCTCACTGGGTTATATGCATCTCAAATCTGTTGAGAATATTGAAGAATGATTTTTTAAGTCGAGTAAGAACTGCATTTGATATCTCTGTGAAATATATCCTTTATGAACTAGACGGAAAAAATAACACAGAATCACAAAACTGTGGTCAACCTTCAGTCAGGATTAATGTCATTTTTCACATTCTTCTTTTTTGCATCAAAGTGACTAAATGTCATAGAGCCCAATTGGCTTGACACAATGTTAAAAAACAGGAATAAAACAGGATCTTTTTCTGGCGGAACCATGGTAATGTTTTTATGGGCCAAAGTTGTGGTCGGGGAAGATATAACGTTGAGCCTCAGAGAACTGGATAATGAAACCTTGGACCACCCTGGGGAATCTGGCAGAGGCTCAAACACCCTCCTAAGCTTCATACAACCTAGTTCTTTTCTTTCTTGATCTTACCTCACCTTCATGGTTGATCAAGTTTCAATGTTTCTCACAATACACTCTGGCCCCTTGCTTTTAGCAGAACTTAATAAGGAAGGGGGAAAAACAGCATAAAAAGAGTGGCAAAGCAAGAAAAAAGCAAAGGAAAGACAGATGTGTCCGGCCTGTGACGAGGAGAGGCAGATATAAAGAGGAACGATGAACCGAATCAGCGTGACTCACACCTCATGACAGTGTCTCCACTGTCGTGTTTGTTTGAATGTCTGTTGGCAACACGCTACTCCCTCCTGGCTTAACCAATCTGTTGTGTAACATATCTAGCATATTAGATATTTGTATACTGCTTACACCATGTGTCTGTGTAACAATTTCTTTCTTATTTCTACATGAATGACAACTCTCCACATGCAACAGTCAGATCTGAATTGCACAAATTCAAAAGAGGAAAAGAGGAGAAACCAGAGTGTATGAGTCACACTAACGCACAGCAGGAAAGTGGAAACTATGACAGGAGTTTATGTGCTTCACAAATCTTGGTCTCAGTCTCAGATTATTGCTGCTGTTTAACACTGCCTTGAACAACCTTTTCTTCCCTTCTTCTTTGGTTTACTTCGCCATGCTGCAGTGCAGAGTGAGAGCTCCCAGATGCTTATATAGTCCCAAAAACATATTTGCATAGATGCATATGCATATTTATGCATATGTTATATATACAGTATTTCAGATTTATAAAGGAATGCGGACATGCACAAAGATGTGAAATTGTCTTACACACTCCATTTCTTATACAGTATCCTTCACTCCCCTCCCCATCACTTTCTTTTACTTACAAAGGTGATTAAAAGGCTCCTCAAAAGTATGTTAGTTCATCATTTGAAATGGATATATTACAGTTTAAAGACCAGGATCATCAACAAATCAAAGTGTAGGGGGGACACATCGGAGGTTAGTGAAATGTGTCGACTAAGAGACATTTTCTCTGTGGGATGTCATGTCCATTTGTAGCACATAGAGATGTCACACGAAGACATAAAAAGAGCACCGAACTGAACCGAACTGTTACAGAGGTGAGTCACTCTTTGATTTCTCATATGGGCACAAATGAGTAGTTCAATTTCGAGAAGGAGATGATGTATTTTATAAATTGTAAAAATTGAGGTAGGTTGCTTGCTTTACTCAGGTGTTTCCATTTATGTCCCTTTTCTTCTATTCCACTTTTATTCTATGTTTATTTAAACTGTAGTTACTTTGTGTATTCACATTAATATGCAAAATACCATCAAATAATACTTTAGATTAGGAAAGAATGTCTCAATGCAAAGTAGTTGAGATTTTACTTTTACACTGTGGTACAATTTTACTCCAGCAGAAACAACGAGTAAAATGTAAAGTAATATCCACATTCTTTTTAAATGTAAACTGTAGCAGATTTCTCCATCAATCATTGAAGTCAGTCATTTCACCTAAAGAGACCAAGTATGTCCGATGCAAATTTGTTGTTCATCCATTCAAAGCTTTCTTGAGTTTTCCATCCGGATCCAGTTGGTGAACAGACGTGCAAACATTGCCTGCCTGCCTGCATATTCTGACTTTGGAATGGTTAACTAATCAGCCACACCCGTCACATGGATCGAGTTACAGGCACCAGGTCATACCACATGATCAATGAGCAACAGTGATGCTACCATGTGACCAAATGCTGCCACACCTCCTGTCTGTAATTCCTGGGTTTAAAGTGAACACTTCCATCCCTCAGTCATAAGGGGGCATGCGTCCCATGGCAAACAATCCAAGTGCAAGAATAGCACATAAATTCATAGAACGGGATGTTCTGTTTCTCTCTGACTTGTTACAATTAGTACATGTGTGCTTCCATTGTTGAACTCCATGCACCATGAGGTGGTGCACATTTCCTTCATGTCCATGCTGTAGGATTTTCTGTTTGAACAAGCATCACGGGGCCAGGCAAGCCATTTTATAACTGATTTGACTGATAGTTCCTTACTGCACAATCTCTAGTCAAGTCTGTGATTTAAAGGAACTAACAAAGAAAACATTTAAAGACATTTAAACTTTTGAAGTACTTGTCTGTGTCTTTGTTTTTAGCTCCTCCTTCTCTAAGCTCTACCTTCTCCTCATTTCCAGCCCTTATCTTGAGTCTAATTTTGTATATTTTATATTGCTTACAAAGCACTCGGTACACAAAGTTCAATTAAACTATTTTACTGGAAAGAAGCATGCAGGAGTGATGTCGTTGGCTTGAATACAACCTCCAGCTTGCTTAAGATTGCTGTGCACCATCCCGGTTCATTCTCACAGATACGTTTACTAATTGTCTTCTCATACCCCTACTTACTCATTTTTTCCCGCACACCTCCTCTGTGTCTTATAGCATGTACGTGTTTCTTTCAGCACATTCCTGACTTGGTGTGTCACATAGCAGCTTTGTACAAACCAAAACATCATTGGCCTCTTCAGAGACAGATCATTTCCCTTCTTACTTTCTTCTTGCAAAATTAATAAGCATATCTGGAGGAGTGAGATTCAGTCAAATTATGTTTATGTAATCAAAAGTGAAATAAATACATTACTTGGTGCCTTTGTCCGAGGCCTAGGAAACAATAAGAAGTGGTAGACTCGTAGGTCTGTGTTTGCTTCCAAGTTCAGCACAGCAGCTCCATTGTGAAAAGTCACGTAACTTTTTGAAACAAGCCTAGTGAAACATGCGTTTTTTGGATTGGTCCAAAGCCTGAAAGTCCCTCTCAGGATGTTAAGTAACAAATTCCACCATATATGCATACTTTGTAGAAATGTGACTGTTAAATAGGTAAAGTCTTTTCAGAACTATATTGAAAAATAAAAAACAAAGAAGAGGTTTGGTGAAAATGTTCATTGAGGGATTTATTCCAGTCATACAAACTGCTCAGAAAAGATTATGAGTCATAAATCTGCTGCATGACACATTAATCATGATTTCCTCAAAATTTTGGAGTTTATGTTTTAAATTAAACTGTAATGAAAGTGTTTTGATCATTAATATATGCAACCATGGAAACTGAGATCTACAAAATCTATAATCAAGACGATCTACCTATCTACCTATCTATCTATCCATCCATCCATCCATCCATCTTTCTAGCTGTCCAACTATACCGTATCTAACTATTTTTATGGTAGGTTTTATGGGCAGTTAAAGGCTGCATAAAACTAAGGTGGAGTTCAGAATTAAAGAAAAAGACAAACTTTGTTTACTCTTCCCCTAGCGATATGGGAGGAATGTTTACTGTGTGTGCATAGCCTGTCCACTGATCACAGATGATAATGGAAACATTGAGCTGCACCTTAGTTGTGCAACATGAAGACTTTTACAGTAACAAAGGCCTTTTTGCCTTTGATGTTTGAGATACCTCTTGAGGTACCTCTTAACATCTTTACATTTAACCTTTTGCTCAAAAAAAACTTTACACATTTGCTAGTGGAACATATTCAGTAGTTCAGTGGCTAGTGGAACATATTCAGAACTTGGGTTCTCCCACTGTTCTGAGACATACAGTCATATAGCTCACAAAGCACATCACACTGGGCGCCCACTATTTACTTTGCAATCTCACACATCTACGAGAACCATTGTAAAGTAGAAGAGAGGGTCATAAAACGATGTGCTTGCTCATTATACCCCATACATTAGATTCTGTATTCTGAGTTTGTGGTTGTGTGAGGCTTGGTACGGATGACACAACTAAGATGTAGAGTTCAGTATAGTACAATGTTCTAAATGCAAAATAAGTAAGTATTTGCTACTA